AGCAGGGAGCCCGACGCGGGTCTCGATCCCGGGACCCTGGGACCATGACCTGAGCTGAAGGCAGACGCTCAACCATCTGAGCCACCCAGGTGCCCCCAAGGTCACCCTTCTAAGGGAAATGGAAGGGGCTCCCCGTAAATTTTGTGGTGCTGGTCAAAGGTTACATTGGGGGAGGGCGGTGCAGGGGGGCTGAAACTGCAATTGGGGTAGGCGTTAGGTTTTGGCTTGCTGATGTAGGGCCCTTAACATAAGTGAATCCATTTGGGGCCTGTGGTTTTCTTTTCAACACCTCACAGCATCTGCAACGCAGCTGTCTTTACAGAAGGGAAAACTGGCAGGGGTGGGCTGGGCTGGGCTGGGCAAGGGTGGGCAGCACCTCGGGGGTCAGGATTCTACCAAGGGCCCCTGAGCCAGGCCTTCTCCCTTCTTGCAACTGGCCCTGGTTTTCTCAGGCTGCAGACCTGGCCCTAATTCCTCCCCACTCCGTACCCTGGTGAGCAGGGGTTGGGGGATTCGTACCAAAGGAGCATTGGCCACTCTACCTCATGACTGTTCAAGTCTAGAATATTCTGTCCAGTGACAGGCACTGCCTCTCCCTAGTTAGGGACACTGCTCCGTCCCTACTGGGGCTCCATCTGTCAGTCACCCTCCTATCCAGCAGTCACTGCAAACTTAAGGTCAGAGAGGGAAGCAGAGGTGGAGCTCCTGGGGCTGTGAGTGGCGATGAGAGGGGTGAGAGGTGGCCACTGGCACCTTCAGAGGGCACGTGGGCTTTGGTGGCAACATCATTCCTCCAAAGTTTGCTTATCCTCACTTCCTGCTCTTTCATCACCCTGACAGGCCTGAGAGGGCGGGGGTCCTCTGGGGGACTTTCTGGCGTCAGGGAGGTAGAGGCTGCCCCCAACCCCCATCTCAGGACCCCCAGAGTCCCTTCCCTCAGGGCCTCCACCCAAAGCCCAGACGAGGGGAGCTGGTTCCCCTGTAGCAAGTAGAAGAGGCCCAATGAGGCCCCGGAAGTCATCAGAGGCCAGTGAGCCCTCAGTTCCGCCTCAGGTCAGGCGGCTCTCCTGGTGACTTCTAGGAGACACTGCCCAGGGGCTGGGACCCTTCACTGCCTCCCGTGGACAACCAGGCTCCCATGAGGAAACCGCTTCCCTCCAGGACAAAGCTGGGATCAGCCATGACAGAAACACTTCCGGGGGCCCAGGTCTAGGCCGCTGGGCTCCACAGCCCAAGACTGTGGCCAGAGACAGCAAATGGTGTCAGTGCTGCCTCATGGATGAGGCTGAGTCCTTGCACTCACTGTGACCCAAAGTACCTGGTGTCCAGAGCAGCAGGGTAGAGAGCCCCGCTCTGGGCCCCAGCCCCCCAGCCTGCTTCACCCAGTGCATGGGCATGTCCTTCATTGTCTCCCGACCAGGATGGAGCTGGGACTGCGTACTCAGAGCTCTGATTTGTCAAACTGTCTCATTTGTGGCTGGGAGGCCCAGCTTGGGGTCTCTGTCCACGGGGCCCACAGGAGGGGCCGAGTCCCTTAGGGGTCAGCTGAGGTCTGGATCCACCCCTGCTGGTGGGCTGTGGAGGAGGGGAGGAACACTGCCGATAGGCCTTCACTGGGGGAAGGGTATCTCACCCTGGGCCAGGGCCTGGTGTGGGGTCCCTGGGTGGAGGCCAGGATCTGGGCTCCATGAGCACAGGGCACATACTCTGTCCTTCCCTGCCAGGAAGGTCCACTTTCAGCTGCCTCCCCTTTCCTGGAGGGAACCAGGAGGTAGTGATGAGGTTTTGGAATATAAGTGAGGTTCGGTGGGGTGAGGTCCAGAGCCGACGACCAAGAAAGAATTTTTTTTTTTTTTTAAGATTTTATTTATTTATTTGACAGAGAGAGACACAGCGAGAGAGGGAACACAAGCAGGGGGAGTGGGAGAGGGAGAAGCAGGCCTCTCGCCGAGCAGGGAGCCCGACGCGGGGCTCGATTCCAGGGCTCGATCCCAGGACTCCGGGACCATGACCTGAGCCGAAGGCAGACGCTTAACCGACCGAGCCACCCAGGTGCCCCAGTTATAAGGACATTTAATTGTATCTGCATTTCCTTCTGGAAGCTAGGTTATTGATAGAAATGCTTTGTTCTTGTAGATTGCTAAGACATTTGTAAACTGAGGGAGACTCGTGTCTTGCAGGATTGTGATCTCTAGAAGTTAACTATTTGTTTTTCCTTTCCTTAGCTTTAGGGCAGCCAGGAGTGCCTGAGGAATGTCACATATATCCCATGGGTGGGGGGGTTGTGGGGTGTCAGCTTCTGCTTTGTCCTCAGCTTGCCTTCTGTTCCCTCATCAGTAGCCCATACTCTGTTGGTGCAAAGCGTTGTCTGCCTTCATTGGGTGCAGGAAGGGGGCCTCTCCGCATTTACCCCACCCTGGGCTTGGGCTGAGCAGAGGCTCCTAGAGGTCAGGGATGACAACTTGTCCAGATTGGAGACGATGGACCACACACAAAGGAGTCCTTGTCCCTGCCAGAGATGTGGAGGTCTGGGGAATGCCCCCTCCCCCCCTCCCTGGCCTTCGGGCCCCTCATCTTGCATAATCCTGACCTGGGGGAAAGGGACCGAGAGCTTGCCAAATGTTTCAGCCTGAGTTGCTGGCAATTGCCTCACCTTTCCTGGATTTGGCAAAGGATAAATTCGCTCCACCCTGGAGTGAGCCATTGGCCAGGGGACCATAAATAGGGTCCCCCAGGGGCAGCCTTCTCACTAGCTTCTCCTCTTCAGCTGCCATCTGGCACACCAGTTTTCCTAAGCCCTGAAGTCATGGCCCGAGGTCTCCTGTGGCTGGGCCTTGTCCTGCTGGGGGCCCTGCAGGCTCAGGCCCAGGACTCTCCCCCAGAGTTGATCCCAGCCCCATTTCTGATCAAGATCCCCCTGCAGCCTGACTTCCAGGATGACCAGGTAAGGGGCCTGGAGGGGCAGAGTATGAACAGAGGGTGGGAGAGACAGAGTCTTAGGGAGAATGTCAGGGCAGGATGGGCTCAGGCTTCAGCTCAGCCTGTCCCTGGGCCCCCTGATGGAAGGCACACCCCATGGCCCCATCTCCACCCCAACTTTGCTGACAAGTAGGTCACTTGAGCAGAACTTCCCAGGTCCACAATCCCTTCCATAATCCCCACAGTTCTTGCAAGGTGGGAACATCTTCAGGCCTCCTGCATGATGAGGAAACAGGATCAGGGACTTCAGCTGGCCACTTGCCGAGGGTCATCCTGTCCCTACCAGACTCAGGGCTCTCTCCTGGCCTGGTGGCCCCCAGCTCCTGCGGCTGCATCGGCGCAGGCCTGTGTGGCCAGTCGGGGTCCCTGCTGCCCGGTTAGAGGAGCTCCTGGTTCCTGGTCAGGCTGCCTAGAGGTACCTGCAGGGACGGAGCCGTAGGGGCGCCCAGGGGCCGTTCCTGGGCTCCGCCTATCATCGGCCCCCCACTGTAGTTCCAGGGAAAATGGTACGTCGTAGGTGTAGCAGGGAATTCAATTAATACAGAAAAACGAGCCCAGTTGAAGATGTACACCACCACCTACCAGCTGAAAGACAACGGCAGCTACAACGTCACCTCCACCCTGATCAGGTGAGAGCCACCACCTCCTGGGGGGAGCATAGGGGGTCCGGGCGGGGGGACCGTCCTGGGGTCCGAGAGGCAGACTGATGTCAAAGCCGAGGGGTGACTGAAGCTGAGGTGGACATTCATCCTTTTGCTGGGTACCAGATCCCCCGGCATTTATCCCTCCCGTCGCTCACTAGCTCAATATTTATCGGTAACTTCAGCGCAGACACACAGACGGTCCTGGGGGAACGAGACGGAGAGAGCAGGGCTGTGCTAGAGTGGGAGGAGGGTCACTGGATCCAGCCTGGAATCCCACCCAAGGCTTCGTCAAGGGCTTCCAGAGAGGTGGTCTCTAGGCTAGGCCTTGAGGAGGGAGCCAACTCCTTCAGGAAACCATCACATGGGTGCCCTGAGCAGGGGCTGATGAACAGCCCAGAGGGGGGCAGTGGCCACAGGGGCAGGGTCCTCAGACACCAGTACCAAAGGGATCTGGTGACGAGTGGGTCTGGCTGCAGCAGGGAGAGGAAAGAGGGAGGCTGGTCAGTCCCAGGTGGGAGATGGCCAGGGTAGGGGCAGATGAGGACCTAGAGAGGAGAGCCAAGGATTACCGAGCTCCTATGGGTTTCTGACTCTGTCACTTGGGGGATGAGGCTAGAGCATTTGTGGTGCAAGGAACAGAAGAAGGACAGGTTTGGGGAGATCAGATAGGATGCACGTGAGAGGTCAGGGTTGGCCCAAGAGCTAAGGAAGTCCCTGGCATCGAGCAAAGTGGAGCCTTGGAGGGTGAACCCCACAGGAGAGGTTACAGCAGGAAGCCACAAGATAAGAGTCGGGGACAAATCCCTGGGGTGGGGGTGGGGGACCCCGAAGAGGGAAGGACAGTAAGGTGCTGGAAGGAGAGTCAGGTGGCTCAGGACAGAGCAGGCAGGGACCGGCAGGGATGGGTTCAATGGGGAAAAGCCAGACCCATCGGAGCAGGGTGGGCTGTCACCTTTTTTTTTTTTTTAAGATTTTATTTATTTATTTGACAGAGACACAGCAAGAGAGGGAACACAAGCAGGGGGAGTGGGAGAGGGAGAAGCAGGCTTCCCGCGGAGCAGGGAGCCCTATGCGGGGCTCGATCCCAGGACCCCGGAATCATGACCTGAGCCGAAGGCAGACGCCCAACCACTGAGCCACCCAGGCGCCCCGGGCTGTCACCTTTTTTAAAAATATATTTTATTTATTTATTAGAGAGAGAGAGTGTGCGTGTGTGCAGGCACGCCCGAGCTGGCGCAGGGGCAGAGGGAGAGGGAGAGAGAATCTCAAGCCGATGTGCTGAGCACAGGGCCTGACTCGGGGCTCGATCCCAGGACCCTGAGATCAGGACCTGGGCCAAAATCAAGAGTCAGACACTTAACCGACTGAGCCACCCGGGCGCCGCTGGACGGTCACCCTCTTACCCACCCATCATTTGCTTCCACAGGAACCAGCGCTGCGACCACTGGATCAGAACTTTTGTCCCAAGTTCCCTGCCTGGCCAGTTCACCCTGGGCAACATTAAGCGTGAGTCCTGAGTGGGGCGGGTCTCCAGGGGGCATAGACGCCGACCTGTGGGGGCTGGGGAGGAAAGAACTGTTTCCCACACCAGGCCAGGGCGGGCTGACCCCTCACCGGCCACCCTGCAGGTTACGTCGGAGTGCAGAGCTACACCGTGCGGGTGATGACCACCAACTACAACCAGTTTGCCATGGTGTTCTTCAAGAAAGTTTACAAAAACCAGGAGTACTTCAAGATCACCCTCTATGG